AAATTATAATTTATAATATCAAAAATTTTTAATATCATAAAATTTATAATATCATAAAATTTAATATGTTTTTAATAACTTATAATTTATAATATCAAAAAATTTGTGTTAGTTATGAGATAAAATTGGCGATATTTATTGCTTACGTTCAGTGTAGACATGGTTCCTTGGCTGGACTTGAAAGTCTTCAAAACATGCACCGCGCTCGACAGAGTTGTCAAATAATAGCCGCCCTCGCCACTTAAAAGAGAAGCGGCAACAGGCCCCACATGTATTCGGCCTCGATTTCAGCATCCACTACTTTGCCACGTACCAAAAACCAGAGACCCAAGGGCAAAAGGTCATCGGCACCCAGCGTAATATGTCTACCGGAGTTAGCTTGCTTCACCTATAAAATAAACAATATTATATTACATTTTAATTACACACTTTATGATTTCTGTTGCATTATGTACTGTAAAATGATAAGAATATATTAGATATGCATATATAACATAAAGGTCGCGATAAAATATCTCGTAAAATATTTGGCTACATGTGTTGCAAATTATACATTTTTTCTTAAAAACTATAAAAAAATTAAAAAGTATGAAATAATAGAAATAAAATAATAAAATAAAATAAATGGAAATAAGAAAAATATATGAGGGCTTATACTTTCAAGCAGAGCTCATATGAATATCGATTGACAATTATTAAAAATATTAATGAAAAAATTTAAAAAATATCGATCAAATGTCTTCGTAAGTATGATTTATTTTATGTTTCTAATTTCTTATGCTGATATATGTTTCAGGATAATTGCAGAAATACTTACAGAATTAAAGATAGCCGAAATAGCGTTCAATAGATACTCTAGTTTTTCAAGTGGAGAGTCAGCTCTTTGCAGCCGTTCGATGCACTTGAGAATGCGCTCCAGATTCTCCTCCGAAGGAGGATGATTTTCGACTGCACACAAAATAATGCATAATCAAGATTTAATAAATATGATATATAAAATAATAAATAATTTATTGTCGATTTTTTTTTAATTTCAATGTAATGAGTATTTATAATTTATATAAATTTTATATTTATCAGTATATTCCGAAATTTCATTTTCTTTGTTATATCTTTTATTATAAAATAAATTTAATTATTAAATTTATAACTTAATTATTAATTATTAAAATAATTTTAATTATTTAATTTATACCTTTATTAACATATCTTTTGATACAGTTTACGTATACACTTACTCGCACGCCGAGATCGTGGATGGTCTTGCCCTGGGCGTGTTGAATGTTCTCCGCCAGGGTCTGCAACACTCCGGTGGCGACATAGTAATCGATGAACAGCCGACAAACGTGTTCTCGCAAGGGCCTCACCACCAGGCCCCTCATCACGTCTTCGAGGATCGCGTCGAGATTGAGGAACTCGTTCGCCCGCAACTTCAAGCGCTCCTTCTCCACCTCCTTCTCGAACTCGCGCTCGCCGTGCTTCACCAGGTAGTTCTTCATACCCGACATGAACTGCCGCATGTTGCGCATCACCACGTGGGGCGTCACCTCCTTACTCTCCCGCGTGCACTGAATAAAGTTGTCGATGTTCTGCGAGAAGGTTGTCGTCTTGTCCGCTGCAAGCTGAAGAGCGTAAGCCCTGATGGCCGCTCCGGTTCCGTTCTGGTGATCACGGCTTTTCGAAAGAGCTTGTATTCGTGGCGGTGCTGTAAAAGCAGGAGAATGGAAATTATTTTCAGGATCTCTCAGAATGTGGAAAAAAATAACATAATATTTTATAATGTATATATGTGTTTGTAATAGAATATTATATATTTTTTTTATATTTTATATATTTCTTATATATTTTTATATATTTATTTTATATTTTATTATTTTGTATATTTATATATTTTAACAAATGTTTTTAATATTTATCATAATTTAATAATTTTATTATATTTATTTATGTTATATATTATATAAATTTTTTTATATTCTATATTTTATAATTTAAAAACGCAGTTTTCTTATAAAATAAATGTTTAATAAAATAATTTAATACATTAATTGTATTAATGTTTTAAATAATTAATGTATTGATATTTTATATCTTATATATTTTATAATGCAGCTTTCTTATAAACAAATGTTGGATGAAAAGCCGACAAAATAATAAACACATTACCCATGTTACACACGATTCTACCTACTAATTGCAGTGAGAACAATAATGTTATAGATGAATAAATAGATACACTTATTGTTAGTTACGAAACGACATCCATTGTATGTGCTAATCATAGTTACGTGTTTCTCAAGGTTTCGCGCAAATATCTACGTGCATTGTGTTTACCATACGGTGTTACGAAAACTCACCGAACGTTTTTAAAAATGTTATAAAGTTTTCTGAATACATAAGAATAATGAAGAGAGTAGCACAAGTTTAATCGTTTATTTTAATTATTATTTAATCGCGTGTAACATGGATAAATGGTTAATATATAAATTAACATATTAATTATTTATTAATTAATAATACATTAATTATTTGAAACATTAATACAATTAATATATTAAATTATTTTATTAAACATTTATTTATAAGAAAACTGCGTTTTTAAATTATAAAATATAGGATATAAAAAAATTTATATAATATAATATAAATAAATATAATAAATATTAAATATGATAAATATTTAAAAACATTTGTTAAAATTCTTGGAATACTTCTTGTTAATCACAAAATTTATCATAAGAGAGGTATGAAACTTACACAAAAGAGGATCCAGTCGTTCTTTGAAACTCTTGTTTCGCTTGATCTTTTCCATGTCGGTTTCAATATCTGTGTCCAGCATAGTTTCCCATTCGGAAGGATCATACGTGCGATCTCTTCGTGAGTCCGGTGTACTTTCACGATCCACGTTGTTCCGTTTTTCCACGTTGTCGTACGAGGAGTTTCGATCGCTATATAAGGATTCGCACATATTCGGGGACTTTAGCAATTCCGGGTATCTGTCGGATTCAAAGATTTATTGTTACAATTATAGCAAAGTGTTACATCTCTCAAAGAATCTTATCAAACAAATATTTTAGACGAAAATTATTTGGAGAAAGATTTGGAATTGAGATTTAATTTGTAATCTTTATTAAAGACTTTCCATGTTGTGAAGTGTAATATATGCAAATATAATAAATATTTTATTTACTCCTCACATTTTTTATTTTTTAAAATATTTTAGCAAAAATGTTCTGATATTCTGAAATTGTCATTCTATACATCTAATATATAAATAATTAAATAGCAAATACATAATGATCCATTAATATAGAAATCAGCTGATCAGGAGAAAATGACAGTTTACATTTTTCGACAAAATTAAATAAAAATAAAAAATATTCTTATGTAAATAAATTATCGTGAAATTATTTATAAATTTTCTACGTTATACGTGATTTTTATTTATGTTAAAAAACTTACCGTTGCAGGATTATACTTTGCACCGTCAAGGTGTCTCCAACAATGTTTCTATTGCACTCCTCGTCACCCGGGAATTTTCTCGCAACATTGTCACCATTGTAGTCGGCATCACAATCGTAATCTGGTTCGCAGTCCTCTGCATCATTGCCTATCCAAAATAATTAGGAATCTATTATTATTAAGATACACACACCAGAAATAATCCAAGAATAAATAAAATTATACGAAAAGTGCGATAATTATTATCGGAAATAATTATTTAAGTCTTCTTCCTGGCGAAAAAAGTAAAAAGTTTGAGTAAAAAGTTAATAAATAAATATATACGGTTTTATTATAATTTATTATTATTTTATTTTTATATTTGTATTATATTTTATTTTGTTTTATTTTTAAAAATTTTCTGTTAACTTTTAACTTTTTACTCGAAATATTTTCGACCATTTTTTAATATTCAAATCTCCCACATCAGTGTTTAAAAATCTTTTAAAATTTTTTCATTAAAAATCGCGGATGAAAGTAGTTTGACATTCTTTTATTTATTTTCCATCAACGAATTGTATAATTACGTGCTTAATTAAACATGAATTAATTAACATTCTGTATAAAAAATTGTGTAAATAAATTATTTATAATATTTACAGCATCACATTTAAAAACGAATTATTTTGCGTGCAATGTATTAAATTATGCATATATATAATAAAACGTACCGATAAACTCCCAGCTGGAGTCGACCGTCCAAGAGGTATCATTGACCATCTTAGTCTTTATCTTGGGTGGCTGAACGGGCTTCGCTCGGGAATCTTCTTCGTCTCTTTATTCTGGCTCAATCGCTTCGCCAGGTTGTCGACCGACGACGAAATCAATGGCGTCTTTTCTTCCGTTTCTTCCGCAGGTTCTTCCCAGCCGTCGATGGGATGCAGCTGAGCGTTGTTTCCGGTCGGGGTCTGCAACCAACCAGGTTCGCTGTGCCGATACTTATGTATCAGCGGATTATTTCTACTCGGCCGTCTCCTCGGGACGACGGCGGCGTTCTGAGCAATCGCGTCGGCTGGTTCGGCATAAAAGGGACTATTCTGTTTAGATTCCGGAGTCAGGGGACTGTTGCTCCCCGAGTTTCCCAGAACAAGGCCCAATTTGTTCCTCGGAGGCGTTACTGTGTTCGGACTATTCAGTGAATTGGCGCTGCCTGCGAAAACACGAAAATTCGTAATTAAAAAAATCTTTAAACAAAATTCTAAAAGATTTTTAAACACTTTGATGAGATTTGTATATAAAAAAAAAATAGTCCAAAATATTTCGAGTAACAAGTTAAAAGTTGAGGGAATATTTTTAATTGGATGGCTAGAATATATTAATATAAATTAAAATAAAATATGATACAAATAATATAATAATAATAAATTATAATAAAATATAAAAGCACTTACAAACTCTAGATAGCAGATCGGGTCTCTTTCCCATTCCAGTCTCCTCTAATGAATTCTGATCGGGACTCTTCATTTCCGGAACAGCAGGTTTGAAGCTACTAAACTCCGGACTTGTCACCTCCTTGTGTCCAATCTTATCATTCCTTAAGATAAATTTATCGTCCTTCAAAATTATCTGTTCTCCGGCTGGCAATCTTTCATTGATAAGACTTCTTTCGGACTCTTTGGGACTCAACAGACGGTCATTGGGACTTCTCAGACGATCTTGTGGGCTGCAAACAAGCTTGTTGTCTTTCAACCTGTCATTCCAGGTGGACTGCGTCGACTGGTCGGTCGTGTTCCAGATATCCTCGTAGTCGGAAATCTTGTCAGCTGGCGAGCTGCGATAGTACGATTCCAAGATATCCGATTCCTGATAATGTTGCGAATTTTTCCGGTTCTCGCGGTCTCGTCGCCTTTTGACTTGCTGGTGCTAGAGGGAGTATTTGGCGAAAGGACGCTAGGTGTTTTCGAAATTAGCTTGGAGGTGGGGGATAAAACTGGCGTGATGGGGGAGAGAGGTGATTTGATAGAGAAGTTGGAAGTGAGAGATTTGGTGGACTGAGGACTCAGCAGTGACGTGTTGGCGTCTGACGGTGTATTTTGCTGTAAAAGGTTGTGACAATTTTAATAGAGAGAAATATTTCTTTTGTCTTAGGGAAATGTTGACTAGGTCTGTTTTATCGATAAATATTATTTTCATTTAACTGTCATCTATCAGTCTTTTACATTGGGTCAACCTAATTTAAACAATAAAAAACTGTAATTATTTTTTAACTTTCTTGGTTTCTTTTTACACGCATATAGCCAGATTTGTTATTATAAATACTTAAATTCTAGTAAAGATTTTTCATTCTGTATAACCAATAAAGAGTTAAATGGAAATAATATTTGTCATTAAAACAGACCTAGTCAGTATCCCCTTAAAAAATTGCTCATTATTTTAAAAATTTCTCTTTCCTTTACCTGTGAAGTATTCGAGCCCTGGTTCACGTTAAAGGTCACCGTCGTGGTCACCGTGAAATTACTTTGACTCTGACTGATGCCAGGCTTAGCCCACCTTGGCGGCGGCGGTGGTGGCGTCTTCACAGTTTGCGTAGTTTTATCGCTCTCGGCGACAATATTCCTGATATCCGGCAATTCCGGTGACGTGGCGCATGAGAGATTGTTCTGATGGAAGCTCGAGGTAGAAGGAAATTTCTCAGAATTCTTGATGAACTTCTCGATCGCCGTCGACCTCGGCATGTCCATCAGACCGTTCTTCAGGGTCTCGAAGCTCTTGAGATCCTGCGCAGGACTCAGAACGTTGCTCTCTACGTTGTGAACCACCGGCGACGGGCATCGTATGCTTTGCACGAGGTTCGGCGAGATCAACTTGTGAGAGAGCTTGTCATTCGATGACGAGACGCTCCGGTCTCTTTTGCTGTCGTTCAAAGGTTCATTGAAGGTTGTCAGATTCAGGGTATTCGGCGGAGTCGGACGCGGCTGACGGCTGGCAATGATGATGCAAATGTCGATGTGTTCGTCGGAGAGGGAGTGTCTGCTCGCAGAAATAAAATTTGAGATAAGAAATTGTTTTTAGAAGAGTTCGCAGAGATTTATCTTGAAAGCTATAGCTCTTGAAAAACGATAGTTCTAAATATAAACGAGATTGGCCAGCTAATTTACATTAAATATCATAATTAATGTCATAATTTCAAACAATAAAAAACATTTCAGCAATTAATCATTAACATTATAAAATAAGTGTCTATAAAAATAAGGAATAAAATGTCAATGTCTTTCTTACGTGTATTGTGAGACGATATTGGGGCCAGGTTGAGCACTATATTTTCAGTGGTCGGCGTATCCGCATTATTGTTATTATTATTATTATTATGGTTATTGCCTGCAAAAAAAAGATAAAAATATTTTCTACCTATGTCTATAATTCTTGCTTAACTTTGAGCTATTTAATATCAAATGTAAAAATTTTTAATAAGTCTAACTAAATTTTAACACAAAATGTCTACTATATATAATATATATAAATCTCCTTTAATTAATTGATCTATTTATTAAAGAAATGATTTTATTTTTATATTTTTCTCACACATAAAATGAGTGTTAATAGCTAAGATTATAAAATGTGTGATTGCATTTATCGAATAGACGCACACAATAATAATGTATTTACATCATACATATATACATACATACAAAAATAATGACAGATCGGTTTTCGATTTTTGAAATAATAATTGTCAGAGTGTTGTGACAAATATATAAGATTCCTAGCATACGAATAATTAATGTAAATAATAAACTAATGTAATCCTCATTCGTCATTATCCAATCAATTTATCATTATTATTATTAATTGTAAAATGCCAGGACAATACACATGTATGCCTATTTGATTATTAATAATCTTCAAATAATTACTATTTGGAAATGCATAAAAATATTCGTAATCGTAGAAAAAATTAAATGCTTTTAATTTAAACGTTAAGTGTTGCTATTTTAATAGTAATAGATGAAAGAGCATTAATCTATAACTTATATAAGATCAGATACATTTTTATGCAATTTAGCGCGCATATTTTTATCCTTTTTCGACAAAGTTATGATTTTATGAATTTACATTATATCAAAAACTCACCACCATGAAAGCTGCTAAGACTAGAAGTATTACTGCTACCACTTTCCGGTGGTTTTGGATTCGCCATAGGATATCGCCAAAATTCCTGACCCAGCAATGCCAGCGACGACAATTGCTGTCTGTTTTTCGCTTCTCGCATCGCTCTCGGGAGAGTCAGCTGCACCGGCAGCTCGTCACTGTTTGCCAAACAGAAATAACAAATCGATTTAAATTATGTTTCAAATTAAATCAATTTAAATTAAAAATTAATTATCTATTTTCTTAAGGTTTTTTAAATTTGTTCAATTATATATATATTTATTAACCATTTATACGATGAAAAATTGTGTATCCATTGACAAAAAAATTTTATAAATCACAATTTTTTTATGATATTTAAAATAAATAGTTAAAATAAATTTTATAAACTCCTCAAAATAATTAAGGAATAAAAAAATTGTCCCAAGAATAAACAAATTTAAATAACTTAAAAATATGACATAATTATAAAAAGATTTAAAACCTATAAAGAAACGCAAGAGAGAGAGCGTACAGCGTTGATAATTAAACGTTTCGCGACACAGGAATTTATGGAGATTAGAAGAATGAGGGACGATATCACGTGTGCCATATTTCCGGGGCGGAAATCCGTAATAAATAAGAAAAGAAAGAAAAGGCATTCTCACCAGCACTGCGAATAGTGAGCAATCAGCGAAGGGATATTGTCGAATCTATTCTCACTCGTTTCCAAGCTTAACTTGCCCTTGTTCGCCTGGATCAAGTAATGCTCGATATATGGTCCTTTGCCGGCCGGTAATCTCACTGAAAGAGCCATTGTGTCGCTCTGACTCGATTGTCGCACCACGAAATTCTGCAACAATAATGTGCACAAATATTTTATATAATGAATCACGATTTTACGTCTATAAATATAATCAGTATATGTGTGTGTGTTTGGAAAAATATAAAATATAGTAATATTTAATAAATAGATCATTTTTTTCTTCAAATCTCTTAAAATTTTGATGATTGTAAAACATTTTCTGTTGTCAAACAACAACTGTAATTGAATTAAATTAAATCAAATCAAATTATAATACAATTAAAATTAAAATTAATTATTGTTCATATTGATTCAATATGAGTTTTTATCACTAAAAAGATATTTCTAAATAATCTTCATTCATTTTTATAAAAAAAAAAAATAAAATAAAACTTCAATAAATGTGTCTATTAAAAAACGCAAAAAATATAACAGTGAAATAATCTCAACATAAAATAAAAATATGTTTGAATTCTAATAATTTGCACACGTCTGTGTATGTAAAAAATAATAACAATACATATAATTGTCAAGAAAATTAAATTAAAAATAAAGATGTTAGAAGACACATATAAGCAACTAAATTGAAAATGAGAAAAATATTGTAGTTATCAGCTCTTCTTTATACTCCTTGAATCTTTCAAAAATTTCTTTTTGATAGAATAAAACATCAAAAACAGGTGATATTAATTAAATTAAAAAAAAAGTATTAGGGAAAAAGCTACAAATTTTCAAACAAAAAATTAAAAAGACTCGGAATTGTCTTATAAATTTTTTTCTTAAATTAAAGAGACTCGGATAGGATGAGAAAGAGATCTCATCTATAGAAAGTAACTGCAAGACGCATTGTTTTTCGGCAGTACAATTCGTTAACGGCCAGGAGATAGCGGAAAAGATAGAAATGACGAGGGACGATTAACAAAGGCGCAAAACAATGAGTCGTCGGAGGGGAAGCGATGGCGAAAGAGCAGTGTTTCATCGTTTGCTGGCAGTCATTTCTGCGCTGATTACAGCGCGGGGCTTTTGCGCGCCATTACAGAAGCATTACAGAAAAAAAAAAAAAAAAGCAAAAAGATGGAAAGTAAATGTGAATGAGGACGAGCATTTTACCGCTATTTCTTAATCCATTTCTTCATTAATCTTGCTGAGAGATATATTACGCAATATATATGTGATCTCTTTTTATCACCCTCATATTTCTTCAACCCCATTAATAATCATTTAAATTATTTGTAATAAAAAAATGTATATATGTCATGTTTCGCTAAAAAAATTTAATATAATTGAATTTGTGGATCTTTAATATTCTTTTATACTTTTTTATATTTAACTATATAAGATAAATATATGTTATATAAGAAGAATATAGAGCATAATTATTGTATATAGAATTATATAAAAAATATGAAAAATATATACTATAAAAAAATTATATACAAATTATATAAATATATAGAACAAAATTATAAAACACATAAGAAATAAATTAAAAATTAAATATATAATATAAATGTAATATAGAATTAAATATAGAAAAATAATAGAAAAATAAAGATATAGAAAATATAAAATAAATTCTAGAAATTTTTCTGAGTTTGGATTTTAAATACTCTCGTGGAATTATAAAGCGTTAAAGAATAACACTTTCATTACATGCATTAATGTTATGCTCTAAGAAAATATAAAAAGAATAATGTCTATGATGATGAGTTATGTGCTTCATCGACCTTGCCGTCTTGATTTACGTAAATATATATAAAGTATTTATATAAAATTTTCTCAGCACAATTTCACATCAATAGCGTCAAGCATTGACATAGTTTTTTCTGTCATTCTGTGGAAGTAGTGTGATTTTTCTTTTCTTTTCAGTAATGCGAACCGTCCGGAGTCCGGATGTTAGAAATACTCGCGTTCATTGTTCATTATATCCTTGCTACAGGCATGTAGCAGCAGATATAAACATGGATAGCGGAAAATGGTGTCGAGCGAAAATGATACCTTATTATTCCATTCAGAGAGAAGACAATAATGGAAATACAAAGATAATTAAAATGAGGTAAGAAAGAATAATTAATATACAAGGTATTAAAAATATTAGATTTTTTAAACGAACTTTGCAGGAAAAAGAAGACTTCAAAATAAATATTTTTTGTTTATATATATATATCTTAATATATAATACAATTCATATATATATCTTAATACAAATCTATTGTATTAAATTAATATTTAATTTATATTTGATTTAATTAATATTTAATTTATGATTTAAGGTGGACACTCACCCCCTCTTCTTTGCCCTGCAATAAGTGGAAAGCTCCGGCTCTCTGAATACCCGGAAGAAACCAAATCGGATGAGAGCGTATAAGTCTTTCGATCAGAGTGATGTCACAGGCTATCTCGCTTCCAGAATCTTCCGTGGATGCCGAAGATCCTCCCGAAGTGGCCGATCCTTCCGATGAAAGTGATTCTTCACTCTGATAAGGAAAAATATTATGATTATAGCAAATAATATTATAGTTTAATCGGAAAATAATAATAATAGCCATATATAAATTCGACAAAAATATAATAGCTTTTTATGATAAAATGTTATACTTGTATATAGTTATATAGAATGTTTTCTGATATATATTTTCAATTCATCTCTCTTCTATATCTAATTTTCAATTATAATCTTTAATACAAAATATTATTCAGATATTTTAATCAAATCTTATATGTATAATATATATTTCTGTTCAAATTGTAAGCAAAATTCAATATTTAAATTTTTTACAGAACGAAGAAATAAATTTTCTACAAGAATCATTGTGATTAAATATCTACGCTTTCATTAGACGCGCGAAACTCCATACCCCACATATCCGACACGCTGCGCGGTTCGCGCAAAACTGATTTTCGTGCGAGGTATCGCGAGCGCGGGCCCGATGGTCACATGACCAGTAGTCACGTGACCACTGGTCATGTGACCATCGGGCCCGCGCTCGCGATACCTCGCACGAGAATCAGTTTTGCGCGAACCGCGCAGCGTGATGGAAGTGTGGGATGTATTATTATGGAAAGAGAGAGTTACTTTGTCGTGCAGCGTAGCAGATGGGTACAGACGTGCGAATCTAATGGAAGCGCAGATATTTTGATCGAAAGATTCTTGTAGCATATTATATTTTTTGTTGTCTGTCAAAAATGTATATATATTAAATTTTTATGAATCACATAATTAATAAATATATTTTTATGCATGCATTATAATAATAATTGTAGAAGCGCGCGCTTGTGTTGTGTAGTATATACATATAAAATAAGCATTAACTTTAAAATTAACGTAATTAGTATAAAATTAATATATACACATATATAAAGAAGTTAAATATTAATATTTTAATGCATATAAAAATTTACAGTAAAATTAATTTTGACCATACAATTACAATTATTTCGATATTTGATTCTTCAGTAATTGCTTTTTTACAGAAAATCTCTTTTAACATGCATCAAAGCATAAATCCCAAATCAGCTCCATTTCACAATTCACCTTTAATTCCCCAATTATATCCGATTCTGCCTATCGCCCAGTTATTCGCAGTCAATTCATGATCGGTCGTAATTTATTTATCGTCCTCCTTTTCCTTTTTCAATGCTTTTTTATGACGCGGAAAAGTGCCATAGAAAATGAAATAATACTCAAATGTTTATAAGCTTTTCGAAGGGAAAAAGGGAGGGAAACAGATAGATTCATTCAAAGGATTGAAGAAATTCGATCAATTCTTGTTTTTTCATTATTTTCGTCTTTTTTTAAATTTTAATACAACTTATTTTTTATCGCATTCGCGAATCGACAAAGACGAGAGAGAAAAATGGATGACGGACAAAGAGGAATGAAAGCCAAAAAGAGAGGTGGCAGGGGACATCGAAAGGGTTCGAATGTAATTTAATTTGAAATGCAGACTGACACACGGTTTCGAGCTAACGGGATTAAATACGGACGTGCGTCGCGTGTTGAATACTCTCTCTTCGAAAGAAGGAGAGAAAGGGGGCAACAGGAAAGAGAAAGCTAATTGTAAATCCCTTAATTATACGCGTTAGAAAAAGTCTTGCACGATAAGACGTCGCCCTGTTTCTCATTGTTTTGTCTGGATGTAAAATTAAGTAAACGCAAAATATGGTACGTCTCTATATATGTGACATTAGACCAAGTTTTCACGTTACATGTTATTAGTTTAAAAAACAAATTAAAGGGGTATATATTATTAATTATTTCTCTAAAATGTAAGACCTTTTATCTAAAATATATATAAATGCACTTAATAAATAAAAACGAAAAATAAAATAATAGACAAAACATATACATATAGTATTATTCAACATATAGGTATATATAATAAAATATAAAGTCTATAGGTATAATAAAATCTATTTTATATAAACATATTTTATGTTTTATATCATTGCGCAAAACAATTTATTTGGTAGACATTTTATTTCATATATATATTTATATTTCGAATTATTGTTCATTCAAACTTTTTATTCTGACAATATATGTATATGTATATTAAAATAAATAAGAAATGTATATATACAGAATAAATCATTTAACAGGTATAATTGCTTTTAACTCCCCTAAAGTGCATTGTACAAAAAAATGATTTCAGATAAAGCTATTTAGCTAGTTTTAAATAAAAAAAATAGCTAAATAAAGGCTCTAAACAACAAAAGGACAGAGAGCCGCAGCAAGAAGTTAGTGCCGGGAAATTATAAAACTTATTATAAAAGCAATTATCGTTTGCCATTTGAATTTACAATAAAATATTTTATAAATTGAGTTATTGTATTAAGCGCACGTAACACATGGACCGCATAATTTTAAGAACAATTTTTTTGAGGAACAGCAAGTGATGTCACGAAATTTAATATGATGCTGCAGCCACAGATTTAAATTGCATGTTACAGTATGTGTTTAATTAAACATGATAGTGATGTTACCGCACAACAGTTACCATTTGCATGCAAATTTTATAATTCGCTGGACAATATTTCGTTTCTCAATAAAATACATTGCAAAGTCATATTATACATATAAATTTCATTATATAAATTTGTTGAACGTATATATTTTTCACACATATAATGACAAAATTTTCTTTTCATCGAAAATAATAATTAACTAATCATGAAAAAAAAGAAGAATACAATAAACGAATCTCTTCTGCGATATTCAAAAACTTAAACTTTTTTATTTCTGTAAGTGTTATTCTAGTCATCCTAAAACCCTATACATTTCTAAAAAAATTTTATTTTTATCTTTATAAAGTATTTTTTATAAATTAATGTTATATTTCATTGTTTCTTTGTAAATAAATATTGTAATACTTGCAAAATATAAAATTTATATATAATTCGTGTTATTACATATATTGTACTTTATTTTATATATTTTATATTTTATATATTTTACCATTTCAACTTTATATAATAAATAATAATTCATTAATTATATTGTAGAAATGTTTGGAATAATTAATATATACATCTATTACAGCTTCAATTTTCATGACAGCTCACTTTTTAATACATGCATTTAATTTAATTAGAAATATTCCATCATTATTTAAATTATTTATTACTAGACTATTAAACTATTTATTAAATTTAATAAAATATTAATTAATATATTCCTTATAAAATAAATATATAAATTTTTTTCTGTATTAAAATTTCTATATCTATTTTATTAATTTATTTTATAAATAATATATATATTAATTAAAATTTTATTAAATTTAATAAAATATTAATTAATATTTTATTTGCCAAGTTTTTATACAATTTTTTTTCTTTTCTTTCATTTCATAACTCACCTGTACATGGTGCAGCTGCGTAAGTTGACGATGTTGCAGCGGATTTGGCGGTAAGGAGCTCGGCGAGTTGACCACCTGAACGGTCCCGTGCTGCTGCAGGTACGGTTCCAGGAAGACATCGCTCCTGTAACACGAAAGAGAGGAAAAAAGATTAGGAACTGTCACGGTTCTCGCGTTAATTAGATTGGCTTATGCGTGGACCGCAGTGCATTGCGTAAATGGCGCAGCGTGACACTGGTTTTCCCACGCAAAGTCTACCTACATCTCGATATATGGCATATCGGTCGATGCACGCGATTAATCGCATATCGTCGACACGGTACAGCTGCAATCCGATTGCACAAAGTGTGAAATTTGGCCCAAAATGTTGGAAAGTATATTCTATTATATAATGTAATTAAATATAAAAAGAAGAGAAATGGTTTAAATATTGAAGAAAAAATATAAAATTATTCAAGAGCTACAGAATTCGAAGAAAGATTGTGTAAACAATTTTGTGAATTTTTGAAAATAAAATAATTGATTTTCATCAAAAATATAGAATTATATAAATATATTTTATATATACATATTTATTCAAAATTTCTCTCTCTCTCTCTCTCATTTAATATATCAAATTAAACTATTTAATATAATTTTTTAATTAAATAATTATTTAAAATATAAAAATATAATTGAAAATGCACGATACATATTTATGTGTCTATATATTTATGATGAAACAGTTATTTATGACTAATATATTTTAATAATAAAATTATAAAAAATCAAAGTTAAACTATTTTAATTTTAAGATTAAACAAGTAATTTTCGATGCATGTCAGGCGGAAAGAAAATGTCGCATTATACGGAATTAATCTGTTGCTGCTCACCGTCGCATGTGCATGTATTTATTAGTTACGGTACGAAAAGTAACGAAGTGCAACGGTAACGGCATATGATAATGCTTCAGATTCACGTGATCATATGATAACGCTTAAGTTCTCTAATTTTTTCTTCTCTGATAATCAAAACTGCTATTTGTAAATAGTTACTTAATTCTGATTGTTTGAGTTCAAATCTACTATGATCTGCAAAAGTATACTTTTATTAACTATATATAGTTAATAGAGCTTTATGTAGAATATTTTTTATTTAAATATTATTATGAATATCTGTCATTTAATAGAAAGTACTTTAAAAGATAGCAATTTGCATTATTCGGTATAGCAATCTTTTCTTATTTCGAAACTGATCTATTTGACGGTGTAATATATTATTTTTTAATCATATATAATTTTTATATATAAATATAATAATTTTTGTTGTATTACAATAAAATTTTATTATATTTAAAAAAGTAATGATAAATTATTAAATTAAGGCCATGTGTAACGAGCAATACGATATTATTTTATTATTTAGAAGAAAATTCTTAATTTGAAATAATAATTACACAAACGTTTCGAGCTCTACTTGCTCCTCTTCAGTGCGCAAAAAAATAATGATAATAAATAACGATAATAAATAAATACATACATACAATTCTAATAAAAAATCCGCAATACATAGTCAATATAAGTTATATAGTTAAGTCATAGTTAAAACGCAAAATATATTTACAATGAATTGAAACCATTAAAATAGTTCAACAAAGTAAGAACCCAATTAGAAGCAGAATGATTCGTCCGGTTATTCATAAAATATTTTAGAATTATTAATAAAAACTCGGAGTGACACTTATACATTGCTCCAAACGAACCACTTATCGTTATTTGACGAAAGTCCCTCGATCTGGCAATGATTATGTCCATCCTCTCCAAATTATTTGATATTTGTTAACTGAATTTAGAGAATTTATTCAATTGTAAAATAGGATTCCACTAATGTGTATGTAAAAAAGATTAAAAATTACAAATTAAACTAAATACTAAAATATTGAACCTTTATGCTTACAAATTGTTCCGAATAACTTGAGATGACGATGCTTCTAATTGTTGTTGGCCTTATTGTTAGTACTTGACTGTTGTCTAGTCTTTTAAAAAGTCGAATAAATAGGTGTCAGATCTCACAAAATAAACATTTACATAAGTCTAAAAATTCGATATTTCTTCTAGAATGTCGAAATACGCGTTGTTAAGCAATTCGGTGTCTGTGTTATTATTTATACCATGCCTTTGTTCCTTGATGTGTATCATTTCCGAGATAAGTCTTTTATAATAATTAGATTCAATATCAGTATTTTAACGTTATCCCAATCAAAAGCATGTTTTTTATCTATAATATGTTCAGAGACCACAGAATGCTTGGAGGAATCAAATTTAATATTATTCATATGCTCTTTTAGTCTAGTGCGTAATTTTCTTTTGGTTTGCCCAACATACGAAGCTTCACAATCCTTACAATTAATTTTGTAGACAACATTATTATTATTGTTATGCACGTTTTTGTCCTTGTGGACTTTAATAAATTTGTTAAGATTATTTAGACAACGGTATCCTACTCTGAAATCTGATTTTTTTATTGTCGATGCTATTGTCTCAGAAATGTTATTAATGTATGGAATGACGAAAAATTTTTTCTTGCTATTATCTTCTGCAATTTCTTTTTTTCTATTGTTGTTAAAACTGTCCATTGTTTAAAACTCTTATTCTCTTATTTATTTCTTTAAAGATTAAATGAATAGGGTAACCGTTGTCCAATAATATTTTAATACACAGTTCTAAATTTTTCTTATGATATATGGGATGAGATAATAACAATGCCCTATTAATAAGATTATAAATTACTCCTATTTTTCCTCCAAGCATTCTGTGGTCTCTGAACATATTATAGATAAAAAACATGCTTTTGATTGGGATAACGTTAAAATACTTGATATTGAATCTAATTATTATAAAAGACTTATCTCGGAAATGATACACATCAAGGAACAAAGGCATGGTATAAATAATAACACAGACACCGAATTGCTTAACAACGCGTATTTCGACATTCTAGAAGAAATATCGAATTTTTAGACTTATGTAAATGTTATTTTGTGAGATCTGACACCTATTTATTCGACTTTTTAAAAGACTAGACAACAGTCAAGTACTAACAATAAGGCCAACAACAATTAGAAGCATCGTCATCTCAAGTTATTCGGAACAATTTGTAAGCATAAAGGTTCAATATTTTAGTATTTAGTTTAATTTGTAATTTTTAATCTTTTTTTACATACACATTAGTGGAATCCTATTTTACAATTGAATAAATTCTCTAAATTCAGTTAACAAATATCAAATAATTTGGAGAGGATGGACATAATCATTGCCAGATCGAGGGACTTTCGTCAAATAACGATAAGTGGTTCGTTTGGAGCAATGTATAAGTGTCACTCCGAGTTTTTATTAATAATTCTAAAATATTTTATGAATAACCGGACGAATCATTCTGCTTCTAATTGGGTTCTTACTTTGTTGAACTATTTTAATGGTTTCAATTCATTGTAAATATATTTTGCGTTTTAACTATGACTTAACTATATAACTTATATTGACTATGTATTGCGGATTTTTTATTAGAATTTTATGTATGTATTTATTTATTATCGTTATTTATTATCATTATTTTTTTGCGCACTGAAGAGGAGCAAGTAGAGCTCGAAACGTTTGTGTAATTATTATTTCAAATTAAGAATTTTCTTCTAAATAATAAAATAATATCGTATTGCTCGTTACACATGGCCTTAATTTAATAATTTATCATTGTTTTTATTGTCATACGAGCTTGAACATTGGTATGTGATGGTTTGATTAGGTATTAAAAAAGTAAGTTATTTATTAAAATAATTTAGGTAAATGACTACTTATTAATTTGCATAATTTTATATAATCAATAACAACATTTTACAACAAAAGCAAATTTCTGTGATTAATATAAAATAAAATTCTTCATTACAAATTGACAATATGATGCAAAAATCAAATGAAAATAAATTCAAAAATATTTTATCCTAATTGTAACTAATTGTGCACTAAGAATGTAATTTTTAATCATTTAATTGGACCGGATTTTTTAGTCACATCGCCATATCCGCGTTGTAGGTATTTTTTTTATAAAAAAAAATCACTTTCCTTTCACGATACTATCAGATTTGTTGCTACGACAGCTTTTGTTAGCCGAGCGGATTTAAAGATGAAAATGCTGGATTTTCCATTTAATTTAGTTTGAAAGGCCGCAAGAGCCGACAGCGCGTGTCTTTCTTGCACAATCCAAAAGGCGTTGTGAAAGAACCGGCGGACAAAGATGTCTCTCCCCTTGGACGACTTATCGCGGAGCAATCGCACGAATTCTCGTTGCCGTACAGAAGCACCCTCGTGTCGGTAATCGTTCGGAAACTCACAAGTAAGTTCTCCCGAAGGAGGTTGCATTATGCAAAGAATGTGCATCACCGCAATGCAAATAGACTCTTACGTAATTTGGATGTAATTTCCATAAAATTATTTCACGAAAGGCCAAGAAAGTAAATTCGTCAGTAATTGGCTTGTTGAGTGTTCTTTCGTATTTTGTAAAAATAATCAAATTCTTTTTTATCGAAAAAATATATCGTTTTAAGAATTATCACGCCATTTAAATTGTTCAGTTACATTAAGAATTAATGCGTCATAAAATAATTAATTATTGTCAAATATAAATAAAGATATTTATCAATTTATATATGATATTTAATTTCATCTCTAATTATTTTATTAATATTATATTACTCATATAATGCGTGTTTATTTATACTTTCATGTTTCTACCACACATATATAATTTTTGTTATTAAATTAAATTAATATTCATTTAATAAATAATCTTGTTTAAAAATTTCATTAACATCTATAATTTTCTACGATTAATAAAATATTTTTAATAAATATATAATAATTTACAATATAATATAAAATAAATAAATGATAAAAATAAAAAAAGCTAAATGTATATTTATACAAAATCGCTACATTTCTATCTAAAATTATACGTATAATATTCATGGTCAGAGAGATCTCCGACCAATCTCGAGTCCGAGGCGGCAAAGTTAGTCGAAAACAATGAATAACTGACTCTGGTGTTATATATATATGTCATAGAACAACGTTTGTTTCTGGCGAAACAGTT